AGGAATTTTGTTTGTTTTTTAAATTATATAAGACATAAAAGTTACTACAATCCAAAAATGCATTCATATAATATTTTAATATTATGCATAATCACCAGACTCTCCAGTTTTTAGAGCAAGTGGTAAAAGAACGGAATTAGATTATGAATGAGTGAATATTGGATGTCTGGTTTACTAAGTTTTCTAATTGGGCCATTCACTAAGTATCTCTGTGTTTTTCGGTAATTATTGCAATAGTCTGGAGGAAAACATTGTTTAGCAGACCTTAGTTTAAATCACCCACAGCAGTAATACTCATAGCATTCAAGATGATTCCAAATTAGAGTGATCCTATAGGACAGAGAAAAACTACCTCATGGGATTTCTAAGCCTGTAAATCTTTCTCCCATGGTGTGACTGGCTTTAACCACTGTCCTTTTCATTATTAGCAACTATTGCACCACTGACTCCTTTTACAGAGATGACGAATTCAAATGAACAGAATAAGAAGATGCTTAAAGGCTTTGATCACTGTGTAGCTACAGTACATGACATAACACCAAAAGGAACTTAGGTCTGTGGTCTTGTTTTAAATGAAGTCATCAAACACTAGGTAGAGTTTTGTTCATTATAATATTTTTTTAATTTCATTGCTACCTGCATTATTTAACATTGGATTATATTTTTATTACAGTTATTTCACTCAATTCAGAGAACCTGTTTGGACTTGTCTAAAGCAATTGTACTTTACCAAAAGAGGATATATTGTAAGTATGCCATTAAGCTTTTGTTTTATTCATCCACTATATAGACAGCAAGAAATAGCATGGTCATTTGCTTTGATATATTATTCAGCATATTTAGGAAGTAAGACAAGGAAACTTTTGCTAACTGGCATTTGTCTTTATTGCTTACATGTTAGTGAAGAGAGGCTTTAATAATTTTATCAAAATCTTATTTAAATGAAGAAATATAATGTAAATGAAAGACTGTATATGGAATATAATGTACATGTATGAAACACATTGTATATGAATGATAAACATTTTAATTAGGGGGGAAAACCCTCCTCCTAGTGAATTCATGCCTAACAGAATATTCCAGCCGTTTGAATTGAGCTCTGATGGCTTAGTGGTAAGAAGTTGCGCAGCTGCCAATCCAAAGGTGTGATGTTCGCTACAGATGCTCAATCTGTAGGGAGCTCTGGTGGTTTAGAAGCAAGGAGCTGTGCTGTGGTTTGAATTTGAGTTGAAACCACTCTGTTAGAAATCTTTTACATAAATATTTTCCCCCAATTTAAGTACCATAAAAGAAGAGTTTCATATTGACTCACACTTAATAAAAATGTCTTATTTTTTCTATATAACAAAGGTTTCATTCTTTTAAGCCCAGGGCTATTTCTTATTAAACTATCAGATAGAAAATGTACTTCTAGATGGTTAAGTGAACCATATTTTGTTGATAGTGCATATTCTTGAACAATTCTCACAGTAGATATGAAGTTATTTGGAAATGCCAATTTTTATCTATCCTTTTGTCTTCAGATCATTACTAGAAGTTGTCTCAGATTCTAAATGTCAAGTTGTGTAATATTACAGTTTCGGTTTTCTATTCATAGGTAATTTTAATACTATTGTTTCTATATTCCTGAGACTAAAATATCAAAATATTCTGCTGCTGAATAATTTCTAATAATTATTAATTGGCTAGTGTTTATTTTCATTCATTAGTGATCTTTTTTTAAGGGATATTTGGGAGAAATCGAAGATCATAGAACTTAAAAGTAGAATTTTTGAAATTCTTATCAACATTGCTAAGTGTTTGAGCTGAGAGTTCATCAGAAATATACTCTAAGGTATAGAGCTGGGTGGGTACAGAGGTATATGTTGCACAATATTCTCTACTGCATCCATGAGATCCTGGAAAGCCATGTATTATATATATGCATTCTTTCAAACTTTCCTCTGTTTTCTATTAAAAAGATTAGAGATACTCATCAGTTCTATTATAATTGGAATAACTTTTAAGTGTGTATTAACCAAAAGAAACAAAGTAAAAATGTATGCTATTTTTATGCAATAAAGAATGTGACACAATAAGAAAATATATATGTAAGAAAGAAGTGACTCTAGATAAGCAAATACACACGTATTCAGCTCATTATAAAAAGGACCAAACAGTGCTTGCTTCGGCAGCACATATACTAAAACTGGAACGATACAGAGAAGATGAGCATGGCCCCTGTGCAAGGATGACATGCAAATTCGTGAAGCATCTCATATTTTTAGGGATATATGAGTGGGTATTCTTTTTGTCTTATTTTAATAATTTTAATGAACATTTACAGATATTTTGGATTTTCATTCATTCATTGTTGCACTTTTCTCCCTGCCCAGCCCCAGTTCGCTCCTCTCTTTCAAAATTCTTTCTTTGATATACAATCCCCCTGCACCCCTCCCACCGCCCCAAGTACACTCCATTGTGCAACCTTAATTTTGGGCTCTTGTGATAATCATAATACCCTATCATACATCGCTTTTATTCTTTCCCTTATCTGTTTCAATGTGGTATATGCAATTTATCCAGTTTTTCTCAATGGATATTCTTGTCATTGCAGAAGTCTGGAGTGAAGGCATCATAGTGGAGTAAACTTGGGGGGAGGGATTGCATAACAATGAAAGTGTTTTTCTTTTCTAGGAGAAGGGCGATTTGGGGGATGGGGTGGAGAAGGGAGAAAAGTGCAACAATGAATGACTGGAAATCCTAAGTCTCTGTAGACTTTCATTAAAATGAATAAATAATTTTTTTTTAAAAAGACCAAACAGTCAAATAGAGATAAGCCAAAACAAAACTTTCTGTTATCAACAGAAAGTAGGCAGGAAATGGAATGGGACTGGGGTAAGAAGAATGAGGAGGTTTCTGTTCTGTAAGGATACCTTTTATAGCTTTGACTCTTTGAGTAATATTAATATTTCACATACTAAAAAAAATAAATAGACGTTTAAAACAAACCAGGATGTTGGGGAATGCAAAATGGAAAGCAAGCAGTAGCAATTGAACTCAATTTTATTATTGGAACAGGTAACATAATCACACTTCAAGGGAGCTCTGGTGGCTTAGTGGCAAGAAGCTAGGCTGCAATCCCAAAGGTACATGGTTCAAATCCACAAGCTGCTCTGTGAGAGAAGGATGGGCCGTCTCCTCCCATGTAATTAACTGCCACTGAAAATCCACTGGAGGGTCAGCGATGGGTCAGTTCTGACTCAATGATGTGCAACAACAATCACTCTGATTGGAATGAGAAGAGTTGATGTAAATAATTTGAAAACCAGTAATCTTATTATTCAGACTAAGGAGGAAAAAAGACTATACACAAAAACTGCACTCTGGTGCATTTTTTATTTCTCATGAGAGTATAGGCTAGAAATTATGAACCTACTTTCTGTATATAGTTGTTGTTGTTGTTATGCATCTTAGGGTGACCCTACCTATGTAAGAGTCTTACTTCTGGGAACCTCATCTGGTTCTCATGGAGAGGTTGTTGTTGTTTATGTGCCCTCTGGTTGACTGAGACTCATAATGACCCTATGCTTAATTAGCTCTATCCTGAGCCAGTCTGTCTCTGACACACCTACCCTCGATACAGTTAGTGTGTCAATCCATCTCATCTGGGGTCTTCCTCTCATATTGCCCCTCAGCCCTTTCAAGCATGATGTCCTTCTACAAAGACAGGGTCTCCTGGCAACATGTCCAAAGTATGTGAGATGGAGCCTCAACATCCTAACCTCCAAGGAACAGCTTGCTTTCACCCTCTTCAGGACAGACCTGGTTTTGGTCTTGGAAGTCCATTGTATGTTCAATACCATTCTTCAGCACCACAACTCAAAGATATCAGTTCTTCTTCTGTAATTTTTGGTCATTGTCCAGTTCTCTGAATCTATAGTAAGTAATTGCAAAGATCATGGTCATGGCACCTTAGCTTCTAGAATGATGTCATTGCTCTTCAGCACTCTGGACAGCAGATTTCCTTAATATAATTAGTCTTTTGATTTCTTGTGTCTAATAGGCTATAGTAATGTTGGATATAGTAGATGTACAGTAGGATATAGTTCTGTTTGAAAATAAGAAAATATTTTGCAAATAATTAAAATAGGGAAAATAGAAATGCTAGAATTAGCACTACTACATTGAATTCAGAGATATCAGGAGGAAGTTGTGATTTATAATATCAATAGACACATAAATAAATATATTTCAATGAGTAGGCACATGTATATTAGTATAACTTTGCCTAACTCTGTTAGCCAAATGGGTATAGAAATAGAAACACTATCAACCAAGCAAGCACACCTATTGTCCAGATCTTGGCTTCTAAGTAGCCTTTCCAAGAAAATAAATATTTATGGAAGAATGGTAGATTTCAGAGGTGGGTAAGGAAAACTTCAAGATAGGCCTTAAATATGTTTTGGTGTTAGACAAATAAGGAAGTGCTTGGAGGATAAGTGTGTGTTGAAAAGACACTTGAGCATACCTCCCAGAGTACCTACTGGTCAAGTGATTGGTGTAACATAATAAACAATGTTGTTGTTGTGTACCATGTACCATTGAGTCAGACTTGACTCATAGCTGACCCTCCACTGAGTTTTCAGAGGCAATGAATTATACAGGAGGAAATTGTCAGTCTTCTTTCTTGGAGCAACTGTTGGATTAGAACCATGTGCTTTTGTGTTGTCATTAAGCCACAAGAGCTCCCTTATTAGGGAGCCAATGAGAATTTTTAATTATATAGACTTAAATATCAATTAGGTTTGTGTGGAAATGGATGATGGAGAGTGAAATGGATAGGTAAGAAGAGATAGCTCTTCCTTATAAAATAATTCTAGTTAATAAATGTAGGAAGAGTGAGGGAAGCACAAAATCACCTGTAGAGAAATAGCCATCAAAAGACTTGTTCCAGGCAAGATTCCGTGGAGGATGCTAAAATTAGTGAAAATTTAAAGAAAAACTAGATTTTTTCCTGTTGTCATATCTTACCGCCTTCATTTTCCTAATGACAAAAAAAAGGTTGACTTTGTTATTCTTTTCCTTCAGCTTAAAAATCCCAAGTGAGTTATAATATTTTGCTTTGTCTTCTCAAACAACCCTTTGAAATCTTCTGTTAGGTCCTTAACTTCCTCATTCCTTCCCTTTGCTTTGGCTTTTTAGCATTCTAGTGCCATATTCAGAGTCTTTTTTTGACATCCATCTAAGTCTTTTCTTCCTCCTCTGTCTTTGCAATGTTCTTTTACATTCTTTATGGATGCCATTCTTGATATCCTCCCACAGCTCATCTGATTTTTCCTTCGTTAGTGTTCAAGGATTCAAACCTGTTCTTGAGATGGTTTTTAAACTCAGGTAGGATAGTCTTAAGGTCATATTTTGGTTCTAGGGGATTTATTCTCATTTTCTTTAGCTTCAGTTTGAATTTGCACGTGAGTAGTTGATGGTCTTTTCCACAGTCAGCACCTGGCCTGGTTTTCACAGCTGACATTGAGCTTCTCCAGTGATTCTTTCCACAGATGTAATCGTTCTGATTCCTGTGTATTCCATCAGGTGAGGTCCATGTGTATAGTCTTATATTTTTTGTATTTTTTATAAAGTTATTTGCCATGAATAAGTCATTGATTGTAAAATTATCATTTTATCTCCAGCCTCATTCCTGTCACCAAGTCCATATGATCCAACTACTGATCCTTCTCCCTTGTTCCCAACTTTTGCATTGCAGTCA